TGTCTAAAAAATGAAGTTGAATTATGAATTGTTCCAGGAACACATATAAATTGCATTATAGAGAACTACCAATTTAAGAGTTCTGCACTTAATATTGATAAATAATGTCTAAGATTTGCTTAAATCAGTAATTCCTACAGCTGAGAAAAAAACAGCTGACTATATAAGCTCAAAATTCCTCTTTTAATCACACTAAGCCTTATTACTAAAGAATCAGAAATGTAGCATAGCTTGGCTACGTTTTTTTTTTTTTTTTTTTGCTAAAAGATTAGAAAAACATCAAAAAAATTAGGCAATCACTTTGTGAAGTGCATGGTAAGAATTCTTTTGAAAAATCTGATGTGTCGTATGACGCTGTAACCTTCCTTTTGTAGCACAAAAGTTTGGATTATTATCACGTAAAGCATTCAACACTAAAACCAACAAAGACTTCATATCTTAATACCACTCGATATAAACTGTATTGCTTCCTCTTGATGGGTTTTTGGAAACTACAGCTAAGGAAAAGAAGCAATCAAATATGTTCCCCTGTCGTTTTTCATTTCCCAAATATTTATACAGTATTAAATAATATTTAGACATTTAGAATAATGAGATAACCTCAAATCTCATAAAGTCTTAGTAAAGTGATAGATTAGTGTTTGGGAACCTTTCAGAGCTTTCAGTAAACACTAAGAGCCTGCTTCAACATGTATGCCCTAGGTTTGCCACTGCTGTGCTGTACTGTATGCTAATGATCATGTGAGTGACACTAACAACCATCTAAGCAACCAACTGCAATAAATGTTCAAAGAAAGAACAAGACCTGCTCTCAGGATCTGCCCAAGATCATCTTCTTCGTGGAAATAATATTTAATCTGAAATATGAAGTGTTAGAAGGGCACTGATTGGCCAAACAAAGGCTCGACAAAGAATTGTAATTTAAAATGAGTAGTAGCAGCGACAGCAAACAGTCAAAGTAGCATTGCAAAGACCATGAAATTAAGGCATCAAAGAAAGTGGAGAAACAAAATGCAATATGGTTTAAAGTCAAGATAAAAATGAGTATATGGGATACAGAACAAGACCAAATTCAGTATTGCAGAATGTTGTTTTGTGGTCTTCATTTCCAATCAGAGCAATGGGAAGATCCTGAATGGGCTTTAAAAGTGGAGATGGGATTACAAGGAACATAACCCTTAGCCTTTAAAACAGAAGCAACTCTATTTTTATTAAAAATTAAAATGGAATAAGGTGAGGTGATAATTGCATATATAAAATTTTATTCCTACCAATTTTGGTGGAAATTTGTATTTATGCTGAGTATTAATTTATTATCATCCAAATACATAAAAATATAGATGCAAAAACTAGCTTACTTAACTCTAAAACAAAAATATTACACAATATGTGTTAAATCTTTCCATCTCTTCTTAATAATACAGTCATATTATTCTTTTATGTATTTTAGCTTTGAAATCAAGGTATCAAAAAACCCAAGAAGATGATTTAGGTAGGATGTATATTAACATAACTAAGATTTTAAATATAATGGCAAAATTGGTAGTATGGTTAAAATTAGATCCAAGGAATTCAAATGACATTCATATCAAAAGATAGAGGGAGGAAAATTTATGCTCAGAGCAATCCATGTGAGGGTTATTAAATTAGTGTTTCCAACAAGCTCAAACCAAAACCATTAAATATTTGATCAGTTTTTGAAAGACCAGCAAGCAATCTCTGCAATCATGAATGTGAACGTCTTTCAGACAGTTTAATGCATGACAAATCCATAAAAAGATTATGCATGATAAAAGACTGCAATGTGGGCACATTCTAACCACATCAAAAAATAAAAGTGAAAAAGCACAGAGAAACAAATGTGACACAAAAGTACTTATACAAAAGGCTGTACAGGGGAAATGGTATTGTTGCCTCGGCCACGGATAACCACTAAATCTGACTATTTCACATTGAAACTAAGGATAACCTCGTTTCTTAAGATTATATATCTAGAACCAGCAGTGATTTTAGAACACATACCCAGGCTAAAAGTGATATATTTGCATCTATAATTGAGTTTTAATTAAAGAAATGCCATATCCATTTTCCCTCTCAAAGTTTAATCTATAACTTTGCTACTATGGGAATTTGAGTTAAATATTCAGAAATTAATTGAAAAGAAAATACATAGTTGCAAAGAGGTGAGACAGCAATTAACACGTACAACAATTTGCACCTTGGTACCACTTGGTTTTCGTATCTGAGATTTCACTAAGCAAAATGTCAGGGGAAAATGATACAATTTAAATGATTAAGAAATAGATATATGTAGACTTGAAGAAGATGAGCAAATCCAAAGAACACACTGCCATCAGGAGATTTCTTAACTGGGAACACACAGGGAGATGCTGACATGGGCTACTTAGGCTGATGGCCTGGGAAAAACAATTATAATATAAAAAGTATCTGTAATAGAATGATGGTAAGGATAAAGATTCTTTCAAAAAGGAAGCATTGCTACAAACGTCTTTATCATAGCTTTAGTTTGACTATTGAAGAAAATATCACTTTTCACGTTACACAACATATTGATAAAACTACCTGAGGAAAAATATTACCATTATAGCTATTTACTTGGAGTATATACCAAACTTTTAAAGAATTAACACCTATTCTCAACACTCCCAAATATACAAAAGGATTGACAGTACTTCCAAACTCATCCCTGGAAGCCAGCATTACTCAGACACCAAAGTCAGACAAAGACACCCAAGAAAAGAAAACCACTGAGCAAATTCCCTCATGAACACATGTGCAAGAATCCTTCTGTAAATTGTATCAAGCCATGTGAAACAGTCCATTTAAAGAGTGATTCATTATGATAAAGCAAGGTTTATTCCTAGGGTACAAGTTTGTTTCAATATATACAAATCAATTAATGTAATTTACCATAGTCGCAGAATGAAGAACAAAAGTTATGTGATTACTTCAATAGATGCAGAAAAAAAATTGTTAAAATTCAGGATCCTGAAGAGTGCTGAAGAACACCTATAATCTTAGCATGCAGGAAGCTGAAGCAGGAGGGTTGCCAGGAGTTCCAGGCCAGCCTGGGCTACACAGAGAGTTCAAAACCAGCCTGAAGCACATAATGAGACCTTGTCCCAGATAAGTAAAACAAAACAAAATATTCAACCACCTTCCATGATGAAAGTTCCCCATACATTAAGTATCAAATAAACATTGGTAAACATGATAAAGGCCATGCATGACAGACTCACAACTAACAGCATATTCAATGATAAAAAGGAAAAAGTTTTTATCAGGACCCGAATACAACTATCCTTACTCTAGTTCTATTCACTGTGATACTGGAAGCCCCACCAAGAGAAATTCCAAAAGGGAAAGGGATCAAAACATGAATAGGAAATTATGAATGAAATCACTTCTGCTTGATGACAACTTGTTCTTACACATAGAAAATCACAAAGATCCCACCAAAAATATTAAGAGTGAAAATTACCTTGTAGGATTCAATAGTGTTTCTATATACTAACAACAAAGAGTCTGAAAATTAAATTAAGAAAATAGTACTATTTATAATAGTACCAAAACAAGAAAAACTTGGTAGTAAATCTCACCAACAAATGCAATACTTGTGTTTACTAAAAACTATGAAACAAACTGAAGATGACATAAATAAATGGAATGACAGCATATAGTTATAGCCTGGAGTAATTAATATTCTTTAAATGTCACATTACCAACTGAATTCTACAGATTTAATTCATCGCTACCAAAATTCCAAAGTTACTTATTTACTTTTAATATTGAGGACTAAACCCAGGGCCTCACCCAGGCTAGGCAAGTGCTCTACCAATGACCTATTTCCTCAACTCTTTTTAATTTTTTAATTTTTAAAATTTTACTCTGAGATAACATTTTGCTAAATTTCTCAGCTTGGTCTTGAACCTGAGAACACCTTGCCTCAGCCCTAAATAGCTGGGATTCTACTCATTTGCCACCGACTCCAGCTCCAGTTTCTTTCTTTATAGAAATTGTTTCAAAAGTGTAAAATTCACATACAACCACAAAACTCTGGCTTGCCAAAGCAATCTTGGCTGAATTGCAAAAATGCATGATGTTACCAGGTCTCAGAATATATATCAAAGTTCCAGTGATCAAACCAGCACAGTAGGAAAAACAGACACACAGACTCATGAAATTGGGTAGGAAGTCCAGAACAAAATCTGCACATCAATGGCAAATTCACTTTCAACAAAGTTGCCAGGAACACACAATGGGAAAAGAATGGTTTTTCCAATAAATGGTATTGAGAAAACTTGGGTTTCCAAACAAAGAAGAATGAACATGGGTGGTTACCACATCTTTTACACAAGGATAGATTCAAACTGTTTAAAGAATTAATCAGAACACATGAAATGAAAACGCCATAACATAGTTAGGGATAGATATATATAGATAGATCTATCTATCTATCTATGTATCTATCTATCTATATATATATCTCTCCTTTGTAATCCTAAAGCACAGAAAATAAAAGAAAAAATTGATAAATGAGACTTATAAAAATCTGCATAACAAAGGAAACAAAGCAAATACATGACCCACATAGTAGGGAAAAATATTTATAAATCAGCGGATAAAGGACTAGAATTAAAATATACAAGGAATTCAAAGTACTCAATGGCAAGGAAAAAAACTATTAAAAGTGGGCAAAAGACTCAAATGAACATTTCGCAAAAGGAAACGTTTAAATTGCAGAGGAACACAGTATATGAGAAAGTACTTAATACCTAAACGCCAGAGAAATGCACATTAAATCCAGGATGACATATCATCTCACATCTGTTAGGCTGATTTTTGTTAAACAGATGAAAAGCAAGAAGTGTTGGCCCGGAGGAGGAGAGAGGGGAGTGCATCTACGTGGTTGGTGATATTGTAAATTATGTGTAATTTTTGGTAACTCTATTAAAAGCAGCTAATTTATTATTTATCTATTTTTTATGGAATGCTTCACAAATTCGCGTGCCATCCTTGAGCAGGGGCCATGCTAATCTTCTGTGAATCGTTCCAATTTTTTTTTGTTTTGTTTTTTAGGATATGTGCTACTGAAGTGAGCACTAAAGGCAGCTAATTTAGATAAAAATTAATACACAGTCAGAGAGGTACTGGACCTTGAGGAAGTCAGCACAAAAAATAAAGACATCAGAAGTGTGAATGGAGGCAAATCTAAAAAAAAAAAGCAACACTTCAGGATGGAAAATCCCAAAGGCCAAAACGCCTGGCCAAGAGATAAGTAGTAACCTGAGATTATATTGTAATTACAACGCCTGTGCTATTAAGTCCAAAGAGTATCAGATGCCCAGGTGGGTGCCTGGAAAATCTAGACCAATTCATTCCCCAAATACCTAAGTCTTTTCGTATACCCTGGCCACATGGCTAGTTTCCCTATACTAGCTAGCAACTATCCTTAAAAGCTTACAGGTTGATTGCAGCTTGCACCCTTTTTTTTTCCACACCATGACTTTGCTGTATAAATTGCCCCAGAGGAAAGCCCTTGGTGGCAAACTGTTCTGGGGCTCTTCTGGAAATGTAGGAGCTTTTCTTATTATTATTCCCAATTAAACTCTCTTAATTTCCTCTTTTGGTTCAAGTCTTCATTCCTTGACAGCATAAGACCACGAACTTGGCACATTTGACATCTAACAGGTCGGAAGTTGTAAGTATTCTATGTCAACACTATGGGAGCTCTTCAAAAAAAAAAAAAAAAAGTAAAAATAGAATTACTATGTGATCATGCAGTACTACAAAGGAATCTGAATCGGTATACTAAGCAAATGTCTACTCTCCGAGAAAGATTGCAATATTATTCAAAATAGCAAAAATATAGAAACAGCTTACATGGTTCATCAGCAGGTAAACAGATTAGAAATTGTGGTATATACACATAATAGAATGATATTCAGCATTAAAAGGAAAAAAATTGAGGAAATGTCTCACCAAAACAGACACCATGTGATTTGATTTACACATGGAATCCAAAAACGTCAGACTCATTCATATAAGTAAAAAATGAAACGGACATTACCACAGGCTAGTGGATTGGGGTGGGAGGGAGATGGAAGTCACTGGCTGGTGAGTATAAAATCATAATCAGGTAGAGGAATAAGTTGTGTGTTCTATTGCACAGTATACCAACTATAGCTAAAATAATGTATCACACATCTTAATGTAGCTAAAAGAGATGATTTTAAATGCTCCCATCAGAAAGAAATGGTAAGTGTTTGAACTTAAGTAAATGTTAACCAGCTTGACTTGATGACTACCCAATGTATGAAAAGATCACATTATACTCCATAAATACATATAAATATTATTGGCCAAATAAAAACAAAATAAAGTTCAAATAATATTTTCTGTATCTCCTTCCCCAGAAAGTGGATAGAATTCACCTTATAACCCAGACTGGCAATGCAACATTGAAAATAATAAATCTCAGTAGCTTAATATACAGTGGCTATTTAGTTCTTAAATTCTGCATTGCAAAAGATTTATATTTAGACTTTTTGAGGTATAGAAATATTCTCTGTAAATTAATTCTGATCATTTTGTACTCGACATTTTACAAAAGAATGTCACTCAAGTTTAAAGGTAATCACTGCACCCTGCTTTATTTCCATTTGTAGGACAAACACCCAAGCTAAGCAACTTAGGAGAAAGAAAAGTTTATTTGGCTCAAAGTTGAAAATTATCACTGGGCCCCCTTGTTGTGGGCCTGGGTGGTCACATGGAGGAGAGAGTTACAGAGTGTGATTGTTCCCCTCAGGCTAGGAAGGGGTGGGTCCCACTATCACTGTCCAGCTTGTGCTCCCATTGACCTGAAATTTTCTCATGGTGTCACTTCTTAAAGTGCCACAATGTCCTCCTGGGGCCACGCATTGTGGACCCAGCCTTGAACATGTGGGGTTTGGGTAACACCACAGAGCTAAATGGTGGCAGAACCTGAAAACATCTAAAGGGACAGAAATATTGACCCATGTTTTTCTTTAAACAAAGCAAACTCTTCATAAATTCTAACATTTCTTCTCTCGCTCTTCTGGACTTATAAAATACAGTGGACCCTCGAGTTATGACCGGCCTGACGTACGAACTTAGGTTAATTAGGTTAATGGAAGTTTCATCTGCCTTTTGTAATCTATAGCGTGTACCCAGGTAAACATCCAGGTCTCAGCTGTCTTGACTTACAGCCAACTTGAGTTACTACAAACCCTTGGGAACCAACAGAGTTTGTAAGTGAAGGATGCACTGTGAAAGAGCCCTTTTTCTTTTTGGTGAGGAAAAAACAAAACAAAACAATATTAGTGTAGATTTTAATACTACGTTGCGATATCTTATTGATAATAATCTCAACAAAGAGTTTGAAAATGTTATTTTTAAGAAATTTGATTCATTTTATCATAAAAATAATCTGTGATAATTAGGTGTCTATGACTTCAGAGCAATAAATGTACATTTTTTAGCTTGGTTAGTAACTAGATTGCTACTATTGCTAATATTAGCATTGTTGAAAGAGTACACAGCTCTCAGTACACTGAGTCCAGCGCTGAGCGGGCTGCCCACGCTGTGTGGCTGGAGATCCCTGCTCTCTCCCACTGTTTTATGTGCATTCCTCTAAGAAACTTTCCTTGCACCAAACGGAGCACATTTACTTATGGCATCTGCAGTGATGAAGAGCATCCCTGCCTTGGAAAAGCACCCATGGCTTCTTTGAATGACCATTTTCAGATTCTGAAAACGAGCTCTACTTCAAGCTTTTGAAATATTCGACCAACAATGGCACCTCACCACCTTTGACCTTGGCTACCAGAAGCTCTAACTCAACAGTACAATGTTCAATTTAACAAGGCAAATCTGATTTCATATACTGTTAACACGTGTGTAATCGACACCTACAGAATACCTACCTGTAGTTTTACTTGAAGGAGATTCTCAGAACCATTCGTAGTGGATATCGCCACTGCTGCCATTTAGGAAGGAGACTTGGAATGCTTACACGACCAGCTATTCCACTAGTTGGCGTTAAAGCTGGCATTCGGGGTCAGGGCGTCTCTAGATTCCCATTTGTTCCCTGCCACTTCCCAAAGCAACTTATTTCCAAATGAAGTGTTCTAGAGCAGTGCTTTGCCAGCTTTGCCTCAAACTTAGTAAAATGTGGGTTATGATGCAAATTGAACGGCACCTGAAACTCTGTTTCTAACAAGCTTCCAGGATACATTGATACTGTTAGCTTACTGGCCCCACTTTTAGAAGCAAGGCTGTAGATATACAATAGACAACAAAGAGATTACATTATACAATACAACATTTAAATCTCCATTCTTATCATGCTTTCATTCAATTCACGGAATATTGAATTGTAAGAAAAGACATATTATCTCTTATATATCTGCAATCTTTAACCCTAACTAGTAAGAAACTGTGAGCTACTAAATGGCATCCTTGGTTTCGTTTTAATTTACCGAATTTTTTTGTTACTATGAAAGCTTTATAAGAAATTCAAAAGTATCACACAGTTTATGTTTTTGAAAAAACAATAGTGATATATTCTGAAATAACTGAATTCCAAAGTTAAGAAAAATTTTCAACCTGAGATATACACCCTATTACATAATAATGAACTGCTTCCTGATTTTCCAGAATAGCAACTAAAGGAGAAACTCGGTTTGTGTAAAAATCTAATCATTGCATAGGCTACTCACATGAATAATAACACTCTCATGAAATAATAAATACAGTTTTTCATTAGTTCACCTTGTAAAGATGAATATGAAATTTACAACTTAATATGTAATAAAATTTTATGCAAAAACCAGAAATTGCTTTCATGTACTCTTGTTTTCACATTGAGGGATATATGAGAGCAAATCTTCAAAAAGATCAGGTGATACCAACCTGTATTATTAAGGTAGGTATATTTTTTCTCCTATATGATATAAATGTGTTTGCTTTTGCTATGCTAAAAAAAAAGTTAGGAAAAAACAAAGTAAAACAGAAAAACAACTTACATTATTTGACTGGAAATTAAAAAAAAAAAAATCTTAGACCAAAAAGGTAAATGTCTCTGCTAGGGGCAGTGATTTTTGTGTCCCCTAATGAAAAGCTATTGGATAATTCAGGTAAAATGCTAGTGGCCTAAAAGGGGGACCTTTGTGCAGATATGGATGTTTTGGAAATCTGATAATAAAAGGACCTTAAATGTATTAAATTTACAAAGATTTATTTTGATATTGTTCATGTGAATAAATTGGTTTGTTAACTAAAAAGACGTTCAAAATATTGTTTTTTTTGCGGGGGGTGGGTTGAGACAGGGTCTCACTACATAGTGAGACTGACCTGGAACTCACTGTGTAGCTCAGGCTGGTCTCGAACTCACAGTGATCCTCCTGCCTCAGCCTTCTGAGTGCTGAGATTAGAGGCGTGCACCACCATGCCCAGCTGATGTTCAAAATATTCTAATGATGAAGTTTGTATTTTGTCATGTTTCAATGTCTCTCTTCTAATGTCAATTTTTCAAGTATGTTATCAAGGTGCTGATATGAGAGCAGCAAATATTCTTTGTAGAACTTAAGTTTCTATCTACGAAATAAAATATCAGTCACATGGAAATTGAACTTTTCTCATTTAAATTACTTATCTCAGCTTGCCATTGCTTCTGTCCACTTCTTAGTAAGATTTACAGTTGACTTCCACCTACTGTCTGTCTCAAATTGCCTTATATTTTGCTTTTATTAATAATATTAGTTATGGAGGTAATACAAAACTTTTTTAAATTTTAAGAAATGTAGAGAAGTTTGAAGATAAGATTCACCTGTAAATTCTAGTGTCAGGAAAACACCTGTCTCACTTTTTGTATGCATATTTATATGGTCACATGTGTTATAATAATTTAAAATAGAAACATGTACTCCACAGTGGTCCATTAAGATATTTTTGTTTTTAGCTTGCAAATGAACTCTGAACAACCTGTCCGTTATACTCATGACTGGAATATCAGAGATCTGAGTTCTCCAAAGTGATGTCTATTCTTTGAATATGAAAAGT